AGTGATGCTAAGAATTTTCAGACCATGTTGCACTTACGTGTAGTCACGTGGATTATTCAGTGAGTTTCAGCCTACATGTATTTCCTTTTCTTTCAGAAAGTGGTTCAATGTTTTACGGCCATCAGATTTTTGTATCTTATTATAAATTTCTTCGGCTAGTTTGTGTCATTGACTTGGTTGTACTTTTTGCAAAAGTTACTTATTCGACAAAGTTTTGTAAAGCATTGAAGGTTTGTTCAAGATTTTGTTGTGACAAAAGCTTTTGAAAATAGTTGTAGCTCTTAAATTTTTTATTAAAACCGAACAAGCACTTTTGCCAAATAAAAGCTAAAGCTTGGGTGGCATCTTCATCCAGTTCTCCAGCATTTGTATTGAACATCGATGTCACAGGAAGAGTTTGAAGGTTTGCAATCCTAAATGAAAAAAAAGGTAAGTCAGAGATAGGACAGCATATATATTATTGCCACATCTTTTAAAACCGCATCTTAGAAAGGTACAGTTAACCTTTGGCCTAAATTACCGATTTCGAGCATACAAAAACCGGTTGAGCACTAACAGTTCGTTCATAAAAATGGTGCAGCTCGTATTTACCACAGTAAACGCTAAGCTTAACTCTAAACTTCCAGGGTGATTTTTGAAAGAACACTTCTCCATTCTTGCAAATTCCAGCGGTTGACCGTGTCAAGTGGAATAAACAGGCGACAAGGAAAACCCCAAATCTGATAGGCTCTTGATATTAGGTGAAACTTTGTGCTTGTTTCAACGAGACAGGTTTTCAGTTAATTGAACTATTAAGGCCAAAATGTTATTTTGGACATTTGCCACCCTCGATAAATACACGTACATGAATTCTTATATCTTTTCATCTCTAGAAATTTAAAAAGTGAATCAATGAACGTGTTAACCTGGTGTCTGTTCTTTCAATACCCAGAACATGGAAGTTCCTCAAGTCATTTACACCGTACTAGCGAGGGCTCAATACCACAAACTAAACCATGTTATGCACTCGTACTACTCTGTGATTCCCTTGCCCCATAAGGATTGTAAGGAATTGAGTTACAGACAAGAAACCAGGCAAAGCCAATCATTTACGAAAACAGTTATCCAGAAGACTCGGTCAGATCCACAGTTTGTTCTATGCATGAAATCTCTGTAAATTTTTCATGTTTGCACTGTTGGTAACGCGTATTTTAGGATTAGATATATTTTTCGTATATTTATTGTTTATTGTCGGGGATTTTCATCCGCTTTTCTCAAATGTTTGGGAGTTCGTGCAGCTGGGACCTGGGCACTAAAAATAATCTTTTTCAACATGTAAATTTGCTTGTTCGTAATTTTGCAGTTGGGTGTTCTCACACAGGTCGTCGAAGTATTTTCTGTTGCGTTTTCTCGTGTATCGTGCTGGGTCACACGACCAGGGCCGATAAATAAAGTGAAGAGGATTTATCTGGCCGCTGGGCCGCTACTCACTGTTCGTGGGGGGTTGTGGCTAGCTTCGATTACTGACAGTTTTACATATGTTTGTTCTCAGTCTCACACAGGACACACAAACACTTCCTTTTAGGCTGTGTGTTTTCGTGGATCGCGCTGAATATGGCCTGATAAATAAGTGAATTTGACACCAGTTTGCCGACCGCTTGGTCGTGTGTCGTCCAGTTAGGTTAGTTGGGTAAGACTTGGGTGAAAAATTACGTCCTTGTTCACACAAGTTTGAAGGTCATCATGATTTTTAAAGGAAATTGAAGACAAGGTCGGCTGCATAAAAAAGCATTCTTCGGCGATAGAAGCCAAAAGGTCAATCGGGTGGTTGGTCACCTGACCACTGAAAAAAAAAATCGTTTCACGATTTCAGTGATGACAGTCAACTCCACGTTTTGCATTAAATTCGCCGGGCATGACACGGTTTCCTTAAATTCAAAGAAATTACGGCTTTGCTTTCTGCCAAAAATCCGTTTGCATGATCATGCAGCTAGGCAAAATAATTATTTCAAAGAACGGTTTGCAAAATCATTTTGGGGATTGGGTGTATTTTTTTTTCTCGAACAAATTTTTATTTTTACGGAAACATTCTGTCGGCTTTTGTTCTCGTGAAGAGGCTACTTTGAACGCAGATAGCTTTGTTAAATGTGTGGGGGTTCATCCGGCCGCTGGGCCACTACTGCCAATTTTTTGTCCGTTCGGAG